TTGAATTTCTCTTAAACTAACTCTGAGTCTTAATGAATTTAAACCTGATTAAAAAGCCTCTTCCTTCCTTAATACAGTTATTTGACAAGCTGGAAGTCAAAAAGAAAGTTAATGTGTGGAGGATAGTGCTTGAAATACATAGACTTAATATATAGGGATTTAAAATTTTAATAACATTGTAAGACATTGCTTGAAATGAGGCACTAAAGGTTATTTCCTACTGCAGTAAGTAAATGTAAGGAATCATCATCTTAAATGACAGAAAGTACTTGTGTGTTGAACAGAATTTAAACAAGGACATTTGCTTATAATTTCAGTGTGCTTATGCTGATTTAAAGACTATTTTCAGTGAGTTCCTCTAGCAGACAGGCTCCAACAGTTGTTCCTGTAGTGCCTTCTTTAAGAGCTGAAAATACATTTCTCTCCCTGCCCTTATTTTGGACAAAAAAACCCAAAACAACAAAACAACCCACAACACCACAAGTGAAACCCTTGATAGTGCTAATAAATTCCTAGCTACTTCAGCTGATTTGGTCTTTCTGAACTGTTCCCAGTTCTCTTTCCAATTTTCCTCCCTCTGTAGTAAGAAAATAGAACAAAACTGGTGTGTCATTTGTGTGCTGTTTGCTGAGTGTGTATCATGCAAGCAGGGGAAATAGACGCAAGCTTCATGTAGTCTGCAGTGTTATGGGTCTTGGCCTTGAACCAAGGGTGACCATGACCGTGGCTGAGTTAAGTGTGTGTTCTCCAGTAGTGTTCAGTCCATTTTCTGTTGAGACTGAGTAACAAATTTGTCTGGTAAGTGGATTAAATCTGATGTTTGTAAGCAAAACTCTAGTTTGAGTCATGAAGTAAAAGTGTTCAGATAAGGAAGGTTTTGCCATAAGGAGTAATTAGTAAGGTTTTTGTATGGGTCACTTAAAATTTATGTAGGAGAAACTATGAGTTTCAGGATGAGCATGTAAATAAAGGTGCATTTTAGAGCTTATTGTATGATTTTAAAGTATTCTTTGATTAAGTTCATTAGTTTGACAGCGCAGTTAGAATTATGGTATTGAAAGCTGTCTTCTGTTTGTGTTCCAGCAGAGTTGAGACATCACTTCCAGACTGAGATAGTGTCATGCTAATCCAGGGACTAGTCTAGCAGAGTTCATGATGTGTTTTAGGAAATTCTCTCTCTGAAATAAATTGATGGAACTGGATTTTTACTTTCTTGTCTAAAATGGGTGGTATAGTGTTATGCACGTTGAAGATCAATTCCTTTGAAACTGACAGAGTCTGGGCCACTCCTCTCTGTATGGGGAAAAGCTCTAGTAAAGTTGACCTGAATTAATGGAGTACAGTGTGAAGCTTGGTTTTGTGAGGTGAGATATTGGATCACCTGGAAAAATAATTAATTATGCCCGTTGTTCAACAAAAAAAAATGTATTTTAAAAAATTGTTTTTCTTTCTAGAAACAGTGGGAGAGAGAAAAATACTTCCATGAGCTCATGAAGGCATTGCACTATTTACTGTTTTGTGTTGGAAACAGCAGGTTGTGGTTTTAGCTAATGATGCTGAGTGGCAGCCTTAAATCCTGTGACCCTGCAGTGTGTTTCTGGTAGGCTCTAAAGGAGCTTTTGAGTCTAGGTCAGACTAAGGCATGTTGAACTCAAATTCAGCTGTGAGTATTGTTGCAGTTATTCTTGTTTGTAGGTGGAAAGATTTCAAGCTTGCTTCTTTGATATAGTTAGAGGGAAAAATGGTGAGTGTTTGATTCACCTGTGAAAGAACATTTGATAATAAAATACTAGTTCATTATTTTTCTGTAACTGACTTTCTAGTACTCTGGTACATTCTGAAACTTGTTAGTACTTAGGACTTCTTATTTTATGGAAAAAGAAAGGTAAAAATTCTTAACTCTTGATCTGAGAATAAGTAGCTGGCTTTATTTTTCCCTCTGATACTAGAAGTACTGGTGTGTGCCTAGCTAATTTAAATGTAGAGTAGAACTGCTCCAAGTAATAAAATTGAGCATGTTCATCAAGCTTATGGAATTAGACCCAGCTGTAGTACTCTAGTCAGAGTTTGAGCTGAGATTTACTTCATTATCTTTTGAATTGGTAGGAATTCTGGAATACTTAAAGTGAACTGGTAAGAGCCTTCCTTAACTGTTTCTTCATTGAGGAACAGGTGGGCTTAAGGTACATTGGTTGTTTTTTTCCAAGCTGTAATAAGTCTTTTTGTATAACAGGTGGCTAGCCCCAAAAATTAACTAATGAAAGAGAATCTCACCTGTGTTGATTCAAAAAAAAAAAAAAAAAAAAAACAGGCACAGTTAGAAGGATGGCTAGAGTTGGATTTGGATGTGGAGAGTTTTGTAGCCTCCGAAAAGAAATCTGCAACCCTACATATGCTGTAGAAGCTCCTGTGAGCTTTCAGTGATACAGGAGGCTTGTTTTGAAGCAGCAAATGCTGGATGCTGCCTTCCCAGATCATGGAATCCTCTGTGTGGTGGGAGAGCTAGCCCTAGAGCATTGGACAGATAAATCCCAATCAGGTCTGTACAGTGTAAATTATGGACACTCGTGCAGATAAATGTTTTCAAGCTGATAGAACTTAAAAATGTATAAAGTACAGCCATTGGAAATAATGACCAGTTGAATGGAAATTAGGGTGTTGGTACAATAGGTGATTATTATAAAAAGCAAAAGCCATGAATAATTAGCATGTTTCTGACCACGTAGCTGTGGGCTCACTTAGAGTATTTGTGTGTATATTTCAAATGTGAACACTTGTTCTAATCCCATGGTTTTCTTATGTCTGAATCAAATTGAACTAGTTAGTCAGAGCATATTGTCCGTGAGAACAGCAGAATTCGGAATTCCTCCAGTCTTTTAATTCAAGTGGGTTCCTTGGAGACTGCTTTCCTAAACCAATCTGCTTTTGATTGTTTGCCCTGAAGACCCAAGTATAATACCTTGTGCCAAATGTGTTCAGATGGTTTCCTCTTTAAATGAGCTGAATTTCTAAGAGTGTTTTGGCTCATGTTAAATAATTTGAAAGCAGAGCTTTAGATGTGAAGTAGGAATTTTCTGTAGGGAGAAAGCTGGGACTTGATACCTCTTGGTAATAGAGGATTTCTTAATATAAAAAGTGGTTTATAATGGGTATAATGTAGTTCAGAGCCAAAGTTCATTGTGCTGGGCCTCAGATTAAAGGATTCTTTAGGGAATCGTGTTTGTAATATAAAACTGGTAAAAGAAGAGTGACAGTGGAGCTGAATCATAATTACTGGGATTAAGGTACAGCCATTTCAATCCTGAAGAAATGGTTATTTTGGAGGTCATGGAATTACAAATACACATAATTTAACACCCTGACAGTTTTAGAGCACAATATGGAATAATATGGACTTCCCTTTCAAGTGTGTTGTTATATGTGCAAAAGCTTTGTACTGATTGGGGTGATGTATTGGAAAAGACTGTAATGATTTTTTTTTTTTAATAATCCCTCTCTTCAGTACCTGGGATTATATAGTACTTTTTGTACACATTTCTTAATATTCGGTGTATCAGTGGGTGAGGCTATTCCTGTTCTTCCTGTTTTAAAAACAGGGAAACTGGTGAACTGGTGCTATAAATGAAACTAGTTGTGGTTTACCTTTGCTTTTTTTTTTTTTTTTTAATTTGGAGGCACCATGGAAGTTCTAGTGCCTGAAGACAGGAGATCTCTGCCTGTAGGGGCATAACCTCAAGTGCATAGTTCATAAGTTGAGGCACAGTTTCATGATCTGTTTGGCTTGACATTGTGCTTTCAAGTTATTGCCACTTTCATGCTTTCTTTGCTGATTTAAATACCCAGTTTTGTGTCCTGGCAAGTCATTCTGGCTTGTTGTCTGCAGTGGTTGTCACTCGGCACATAAGCTGGTTTGAGGCACTGCTGCTTCCGCTTGAGAGGCCGTATTGCCAGGAGTTGTTAACTGGGATGGCAGTTGCTGTTACCTGTGTAAGGGAAGTGTGCGTAATTCTAGCAGCGCTTCTCTGGGAAAACTGTAAACCCAGAGCAGGAGTATCAGCTAGTATAGTGCAGCTCTTTCGGTGGGCTTGGTTGCTGTATGTGTTTCTGTGCCCATTGCTGAAATGAGATTCATGTGTTACAGGCATGTTATTTTACTGTCTTTGTTTTAAGGATTAAAAAAACAGGCAAAGTTTTCCTATTCCTTCTCCTCTTCCGAGTCCTTTTGCCCATAGTCTGTAGTCAAGTGCATGTTACTGGATTAGGTGGCTGCAAGACCTGATGAGGAAAATTTTAACAGTTGGGATGGTAATATTTGGTTAGCAGTTTGAAGCTGCGAACACAAAATTTAGAAAAAGGCTAAGTTTACATGGCAAAATCCAAAGTTGATAGGTCCACAGTGGAAAGCTCCAGTATGTTTACAAGTAAGATAAAGCTAAGTTTTTCCCAGAGGTATCGGTCTGAGTTAGATGTGTGGAACCCAGTAACTGCAGTGAGAAAAATGTACCTTGGTAACTTTGCAAGAGACCCAAGAATTTGCAGTTCTAAAGCAGAGCAGTTTGGAGTTTTCTGTCATTGTTGAAATTTCAGTTTGATTTAATAGGATTTATTTTCCTTTTGAATACACTGATCATTTTGTGGCATGCAGTTCTCTTAGCTGAGCCCTCTGAACTCCCAGTGCATGTGGTTAGTTCAATCTAACTGCCAAGTAAAATGTGTTAAAAGCCAAAGTTTTTATGGCAGTTAAGGATAATTAAATTTAAAACCTTACATGTACAGTTCTATATGCAAGTGTTGTTCTTGACTTCATTAGGTACAACTTAAGATTTGTTTTTTGTAAGCCATTTCCAGTGATGTACAGGTACTTTTTTTTTTTTTTAGGGCTATTGTTCAAAGGAAAAGTAGAATTAATAGTATAGTGTATTTTACGCTGTGACATCTCTTGCTGACTCTTGGAATCTTTTTTTTTTGGGGGGGTTGCTCTTGTCTTTCAAGTTGGGTTTGAAGATTATGGTCCAGACTGTGATAGCATGAGGATAACGGCGTTCTTGGATATCCCTGGACAGGATAACCTAACTCCACTGGCTCGTCTGGAAAAATATGCCTTCAGTGATAACATATTTAACAGGTAAGGGTGCAACAGCTACACTTGGTGATGACTGAGTCTGATAGTGTTGTGGTGTCAAGATGTCACTATTTCTCTTATTATTCTAAGTGCATGCCTAATCTTATTTCTGTTTGAATACCTTCTGTCTAACATTTCCATAAAAAGAACTTTTCCTTCTTCATTATCTGAGTAAGATTTCTTGACTCCATCTTTTTTTTTTTTTTTTTTGTTGGGTTGTGGAGAAACTTAACTGGTAGATCTGAATGTTCGGAGAAGATCTTTTTTAAGGTGCCCTTTTAAATGTGAGAAGTTCATCCCATCTGCATGTCCTTGGCAGGATATAAATGCAATTAATATGTTGTTCACTCCACAGGCAAATTATTGCCAGAGGTCTTTTGGATGTCTTTCGAGATTTCAGTAATAATGAAGAAGACTTCCTGACTGTGATGGAAATAGTGGTCAGGCTCTCGGAAGATGCAGGTTTGAAGGGTTTTGTTATTGGGTTTTTTTGTGCGCCTTTTTTTTTGTGACTTACTTTACATAAGCTGCAACATAGAAGACAGTAACTTTTGATTTTGAGTGAACTAAAACTAGATCACCTGGCAGCAGTATCTGTTAGTGAAAACAATTTTTTTCTGTTTTTGAAGTATTTTGTACAGTAGATGTATAAGTGAAAGGCTCTTACCTAGTGTAGTGCCTGAAGTAATATTTTTCAAGGACTTCATTACAGCGGAATGTGTGGTGCATGTAGCACAGAGCAGATGTGCATACATTCATAGTGATTGGGCTTTCTAGCTAGTGCTCTCTGATTTCTTTGGGAACTGATCCCAGGTCGGGACTGCGATGATGTATGTAGGGCTGCTCTATTTTATTCAGCTCTCTTTAAGAACAGGCAGCCTTAGTGGGTGATATTTCTTTGTTTTGAGTATTTTCACTTTCCTCTGTTGTGAAAACATCAAACAAAAAAAGCTGCTTTTCTTAGGGTACCCAGTCTTAATTTCATATTTACTGATGTAGTTTTGACTTTCTTTTTATTACTAGAACCAACTGTACGTACAGAGCTGATGGAACAGATACCATCTATTGTCATTTTTCTGCAAGAAAGTCGACCAAAATTCCCAACAGCATTTTTTGAATACCTTATGCCCATAGTAGTGAGATACCTCACAGATGTTAACAATCAGGTAGGAAAACCAGACAGCTGAATCATTGGAACATTCTCTGTGGTTCAGTGACTTTAAGGCATGAGGAAGAGATAATAGGAAGTTCTGTGTTGATTGATACCTCACTTTTATGCAGTACTTTGTGTTTATTAGTTTCAGTAAGCTTTGCTAGGGAGGTCTAAATTTTGTTTGTTCTTTCCTTAGCAGAAGATGGTAAACTTGCAGGACTTGCCTAGCAGCATATTGATACAGTCAGTTACAGGAGTTGTGGCTTAGAACTCCTGACTTTTATTTCATCTTTTAGCTTCTCATCAGAATTTGATGAAATGTTATCTAACAATTATAACAATTATATGAAACTTTATTTATTAGTAATTCCTTCTAACTAAGAGGTTCTTTCTGCTGTGATTTTTTTTTTTTTTTTAACTTGTACCTATGTTCATTGAAAACACTCCTTTTGTGGTAGTTGTATCAATAAATATTGTTCCTATAGTGACATACTTTTGTTTGTTCATGTTAATAGGTTAGAAAGGCAGGTCAAGAAGCACTGCTTATACTGCTGGAACAAGATCTTGTTGCTCAGAGTGACATTGAAAATAAGGTGTGTCCAATTCTGTTGGACCTCTCTGCTCCTGATAGCGATGATGAGTACAAGGTGGAAGCTGTGAATGTAAGTGAATTTGGAAGAAATCTTCTATCTTTAAATTTTTTTCCCTGCTTTTAATTGCTTTTGCTCTCTATCTTTTAGCAGTGCAACTACAAAGCTCTTTTAGAATGTAACAACTTTGTGTGAGATTTTCATGAGCATAAACTCCAGCAACTAAAAATTGTGCTTGTATTCTTAGTGTCCTGAGAGCTTTACATTAATCATTGAACTCAAACTTTCTGTACTGTTACTGTTTCAGTTTTTATTACTTCTCTATTTGTCAGTTGCTCTGTTACGAATTGAGGAGCTGCTGTTGTGGTACAGTGGAAGCTCGTGTGCTCAGCTGTTAAGCCTTGAACCTGTTGGTTTCTTAATCATTTATAGTGTGAGCACCGTGGAAAAAATGTGAAATCTCAAAGAATTTGGACAGATTTGAGCCTTGATGCACCATACTGAGAGATTAAAAACTATCTTGATTGCATTCAAGAAGCAAGCAAGGTTGTTCTGAGTACAATTTGTTCATGCCTTTGGCTAAGTGTAGAGGTACTTCGGGTAGGCTTCCTCTGCGTCCCAGCCCTTCTTGTGCAGTGAAGATATCTGGGCTTCTGTGTCAGTCAAGTGCTTGAGGAAACTTTTTGAAGTAGTGCTTCTTGAAAATTGAGCTATTCAGTTATTTGGAACAGGGATGTTCTTATATGTTTAAAGGTGTAAAAGTAACAGATCTTCAAACTCAGTACAAGTTTTTTCCCTATAGATAGATGATATGTTGAGTACTTGAGTATTTACAAGAATGACCACTCTATTTGTAACAGTAATTAAGGAGAGGCCCAGGAATATTGCTGACATAGCAATCAAACCTTTGTGTTTATTCATTAACATATTTGAATTTTTAGTTTAACACAACACATCTTTAATTTTTATTCTGAGTTTTTGAAAAGATCAAGCTTAAAGTAACTATACTTCAGGATGTTAAATGATTATCAAAACAGTAGCCAAATGACTTTAAAATGCAGCTGCTTCTTAGCAGCCTTGGTTTAATTCTTGTTAAGATTGTTCTCCAACAGTTTCTTCACACTTGCTCTACCAGGTTTCACAGTAATGTTCTAAAATACAAATGATGACCTGATCCTAAGTGTTTTGAAAAAAAACATTCCCTCTTCACTTTCAAGAAATCAGTTGACTCCACAGAAAAGTCCTGGTGTGTAATTACATTTCAGCATGGATATCTGACACTTGACCTGTAAAATAGTTTTACCAGTTAGATTTTCCTCTTACTTGTTTTAGAGTTGAGTATTGCTTAGGCAGTTTTCCAGGGTGACATCGGAGCACCAGATGCATTTTCAAGAGTTTGAAAAATAATAAGAAAGGCCTTGAATGCTGTTTTCTTTAGTTTTTATTTAGTATTCTATTACAAAGGTAAAGGTTTCTACAAATAAAGCTTATTTTTTGTGGATGTAGAAAGCTTCAATAATTTTTGAAAAAAAAAATGGCAAGCTATGGATAGTGTTAATCTGGCAACACTAGTGTAAGCACTAAACTGGTGCTGCAGCAGAACAGTTGAGTAGAAAGGTGCGTGGGTGCCCCTTCCCTTTTGCTGTTGCAAATACAAGAATTACAGCAGGTGGTCCCCAAAAGTGAGAGCTGAAAGGAAACTTACAGTCCGACACACCTGATTTTCACAGCAGAAACATGGTTTGCAATGGCATTTGAAACTGACAGCTCCTAAGAGAAAGCTAAATTCTTGAGAGTGGTACTGCATTTCTTGAATTATGCTGTGATGTTAACTTCTAAAACTTCCAAGGATGATTCCTGTCAAGTGTGCATTAGCTCACATGTATAACTGGTTTGTGTTACTATCCCTTTTCTCTTGTATGGTAAACTTCTATTTTATGATGTTGTCTGAGCTTATAAATAGCTGAGAGCGTGCTTGTTTTTGAGTATCTGAACAGTTCTGTTAAGTCCTGTTAAGCTTGAGATTTCTAATATGCTTAATGATTGGGCTTTTGCATTCTGGCCAGTGCAGTGGAATGTGTCTTCTCTGTACACAATATCTGTGTATGCCACATTGTAAAACACCTTGAGAAAGCATTTGTTAAAGTCTCTTTAAGTGGGTAAAAAAGACAATGAGTTGTGCAGAAATGTTATGTTCAGGCACAGTGGTATAGAATAATTTCAAAACCCATAGTTGTGCTTCATATAAAACAAGTAAATGTGTTTTATGCAGTTGCTCTTTCACTCTCGGAAGTAATTTTCAGGAGGAATGTTTGGCTGTGCTTGCAAGCTTTATCATTTTCTTCATGCATATTCCCTGTCTTGATTTTTTAGATAATCTGTAAAATGGCTTCAATGCTGAGCAGAACAACAGTTGAACACATGCTGCTTCCTCGTTTCTGTGAATTGTGCAGTGATGGGAAGTTGTTTCAAGTCCGAAAGGTTGGTGTTTTCAGCCCTAAGTCACTCAAAAATTAACTTGCATGTTGTGTTCAAATGCCTTCCTGAATACTTTTCCTGAAAGCTGATGAACTTCAAAAGGGTGTATAAAAGAGCAGTTTTGATTGGCATGGTTATCTTTTCTGTAGTTCAGTGAGGTAGGTAACAGTCCTTAGTGAGGAGCTTTGCTGTAGCAGTTAGTGATCTTGCATGTTTAATAGTTTTGCACAAATTTTTTTTTTTAGTGACTGTGCTTGGTTGTAGGATGTAAACAAGTCACCTAATCTCTGACATCTTTTTTCAAAACCAGAAATTCAAAAGCAGTAGATATGAGCCATCTTTCTTTTTGAAAAATAATAAGAAAAAATTCTAGTAGTATTATTGAAAGGAGAAATCCTGAAAGCATAAGACTTCTTTTAATTCCTGTTCAAATACAAAAGAAAAGTTGTAGCATAAGTCATCTTAAAGTGTTTGAGTAGACTTAAGGGTCATGCAGAGCTTCAGCGTGGTTCTTAATGTGAGCTCCACTTGTTGGAATTCGAGCTGCTTTATAGCCTTCTAATTAGCACATAGAATGAATAAATTTTATATTAGCATGTTCCTATCTTAATTGATTTCACATTTTGGCAACATCTCTTTCCAACATGAGGGAATGTCCCTTTTGTCTCAGTTAGAGAATTTGTGATGTACTGTAAATGGCATTAACTTGAGACCTTGATTAAACTTTGCTTCAGTGAAGTACTTAAGCAATTCTCAGCAATAGCAAAGATAGTTCTGTCAGTACACCTAAGTCCTGACCCCAGTATCGTATTTTAGTCTGCTTCAGTTTAGCAGCTGCTGTTCAGAGCAATTTGAACTTTCAAGTAGGCTTATTATTAACTCTTAATGATTGCTGCAGTAGATGGTGCACTTCATGCAGAGACTTTTATTACTATTGATTTCAAAGGCATGTGACTTATGGAAGCTTGATCTAATGAGTCTTTGTTTGGGATGAGTTAATGTTACAGGATGTAGTTACTTGGCTGAAATTTGAGTAGTCAAAAACATGTGCAGGTGTTACATGGGGTAAGTAATGCGTGGTGAAGCTGATGATAAAACTAATGCACTTGAAAGAGCCAGAATGTTATTCATTACCTTTTTTATTTCTTAGATTTGTGCAGCTAATTTTGGTGACATTTGTAATGCAGTTGGGCAGGAAGCCACAGAAAGATTGCTGGTATGTAATAATCAAATTCCATTCACAACACTTTTATGTCTCGGTTCAGAAGGTTTAATGATGAGTTCCTTATTGACTTCTCTGTAATTTAATCAGTGTGTATGCATTTTTTAAATTGACTTGGCTATGGGTTTCGTTGCAATTACGTAGCAAACTGGGAGTGACTGGAAATGGAAAGGTCCTGTTTTGCAAAACACCTAAGAATTTAATTGACAGCATATATATAGATGTATATATGTTTTAGAATTGCTGACTTTTTTTCCCATGAACTAGATGATCAGTCAAGTTACAACTTCAGGAAAAACAGGCTGTTAATTCTATTTTTCCCTAGTGTGTGTAGTTAAACATAAAATCCTGATGAAGTAAATGGCAGATGTTTTTTTTTCAATTTTTTCCATTAATATGTTTTTAAGCTGTCTCCATTTCTGCTTCATTCATTTTATTCTCTTGAGTTATCATTGTCTTCAGTTTCCAAACAAACAGATTGATAGTAAATTGCTGCAGTCTTTTAGTCTTTAATTAGCCATGGTTTTGCTTATTTTTGGCAGATTCCCAAGTTCTTTGAACTCTGTTCTGACAGTGTTTGGGGAATGAGAAAAGCTTGTGCCGAATGCTTTATGGCTGTGTCCTACACCACGTCCCCAGAAGTTCGCAGAAGTAAACTATCTCCACTGTTTATCAGTCTTATTAGTGACACTTGCAGATGGGTAAGTAATATTACACAAATACTGGGAATTAGAGATTCTGATTTGTTCAAGTTCCTTAATTTTGCTGTGATAAGTCTAACCTACTAAAATCTAACCTCCTATAATAAGATATACTATTGGTTTTCTCTTTTAGTACTGGGGGTTTCTATGAATGCTTATTTTTAAGTGTAAACACTCTTCTGAGCATAGGTTGCTTGTGTTGAAAGTATTAGTTGAAGTAGACAATAATGTCCTTCAAATTTATAACTTCAAAAAAAAAAAATCTCAAAGTAATTGTAGATACATGCTTAGTATTAACACCCTTTGCTTAGATGTCACTTATTTGGTAATTGATAATTCATTATATTGGGTATTAAATTAAACTGTTACAGTAAGAATCAATGGATTCTTAATAAAAAATTGAACTTTTTGGGTTTTTTGGTTTTCAGCATTAACTCAGTAGAAGTTAGGTGCATTGTGACAGTTGCATTTATGCTATCACAGGTTCGTCAAGCTGCATTTCAGTCTCTTGGCCCATTTATTTCTACGTTTGCAAACCCTTCAAGTGCTGGTCTTTACATTCGAGAAGATGGAACGCTGAGTATCCGGCCATCAACACAAGATGTGAATTCCAATTTCTGTCAGCCGAGCAATGATACAACTTCAGTGTCATCCAGTACAGATGCTGCATCGTCCAGGTAAAGTTATGGGAAAGATGTGGTGTAGTGGAAGGGGGAAGAAGGATGATAATTCTAATTGGTGTTTAGGGCTAAAAATCTGAGCTTAAGAATATAGTTTCAGAGAAAGTATGAAGAGTGAGGTCATGCATGTGTCTAAATGTAGCCACATCTCTGAAAACTGTGCTGTGATGGTGTCACAGGAGGGTAAAGGGAGAACTGGTGAAATAAGGCACAGTGGTAACAGGTTCTGTGTTTCTGCAGAGAAAAGCTTCTGCAGTTGATGCTGTCTTTTATGAAGTATTGCACTGAAAAGTATTGTTACAGAGTACTTTAAGTTTTATTTTCATAACTGTGTCTGTTACCAGTTCAGAACAACCAATGGATATCAAACCAGAATCATCAACTGAGGAGACTGCAGCTGAAGTTAATACAAACCTCTCTGCTGAGAACCTAAATAAAGATACAGGGGAAGAAAGTTCAGATTGTCAGACCAGTCCCGCAGAAGATGTGTCTCATTTGTCTCAGGATGACAAAGTTGCTGCTGGTGTCATGGAAGTCAATAAGGGCAGCAGTGTTCCTGGGCTGAACTCAAGGATACAGTCTGCTGAGGATGTATTTAATACTTTTCTGTACTGGCGCCCTCCTCTGCCTGATATAAGTCAGGATTTGGAGTTGCTTCAGTTCAAGACTGAAAAGCACAAAGACAGCTGTGCCGTGCCATGTAATAACTGTGTGGCTAGTAGTGAAATAAAAAAGGTTCTAGAAAGCTTACAGGAGCACATGGATGATCCAGATGTTCAAGGTGAGACTTTGTAACAGTGAAATCATGTTTTCTGTGGGAGGTTTTCTCCTGGCCTTTACAAAACCATTGAGTGTTTTGGCTTGGTGTTCCTAAGATAACGAGACCTTGTTGAATAGTGAATCATAGTAGAATGTTACTCAACAGCCTTTTTTGCAAAACTTGAGGTATTTCTAGAGCAGCTGGGGAGGTGTTCCTAGCTCCTGTTTGTGTGAGAAATAAATTGGTTCTAGCTACAAAAGGGAAAGACCTTGTTGGAATTTGTTAAAACCGTCTTTAAGTACTGTGGTTTTAGACACAAAGCTACCTGTTACTGGCTGACTTCATCTAATATTTGGTTGAGTGAGAGTGGCCCTGATTTCAAGTCATCTTCCCTTAGCCCTCCCCCTGCAGCCCTGCTACTGAACACACTGGTAGCCTGATTGTGGGATGCATGTGTTTCCTTGGCCAAATCCCTCTTGACAAGCCTGTTGTCCATAGTCACCTCAGTTTCTTGTTCCATTAAATGTCTTGAGTACTCCAATGAATTTAAGAGTTTTCATCTTCCTGTTTGTTCATCCCTTCTCTGCATGCAGAGTCATCACTTTTTTTACAACAACTGCTGTGTTGTTTGGACTGGCAGCATGGTGTGTTTAGGTGGTTCCCCATGGCCATTTAGAGAAGGTACCAGGATAATGAAAAATTCTTCACTTGTGAGTGACAGTATCAGAAAGAAAGGGAAAGATTTAAAAGAGGCATAGGTGAAGAAATTAAATTTTAAAGCAGCAGTGGGATTATTAGAAATACCTTTCAGTAGTAGAAAATGGTATAATGCTTCTGGTGAAAATTGTAATACATCCGAATCATTGGTCTTGATTTGTGGTGGTTTTGTGGAAGAGTAATGGGCCTTTCTTTTCTAAGAGCAAATGTTTGCTAATACAGCGTTTCTGTAGAGCTTGGAGGAGAAAAATGCTGGGTGTCTTTTTATCTTTTTGAATTAACTAATTACAAGCTTAATGCTTTTAAGTACAGAAGGGACACTAATCTTCTTCTGCTTTATACAGCTCAGGTCCAAGTGTTGTCTGCTGCTCTCAGAGCTGCTCAGTTTGACTCTGTTGGTGACTGTGAGACCAAAAAGATGGAAGAGAACAGTGGCAGACTTCAGAACCAAGCTGTTTCAGATACTACCTGCAGCCAGGTAAAGGAAGGCAGTCTTTCAACGATGGCCTCCCAGAGTATCAGTGACCAGTCTGTCACCAGTACACTGAAAAGCACAGTAAGTGTGTGTTGTTCCATGTCTGAAACAAATTCTTACCACCTGAGGTACTGTGGGTGTTCATATAGTCCCTGGCATCACTGACCCAATTCTGACCTAAAGCTTTTGAATGTTACTACACCTAAGCCATCCTATGTTAATTTTAATTAAAAAAAAAAAAATAAAAACTATGGAGAGCTGTTATTTGTGTGCACACAAATTGTTAGAATTAAAGATTTGGAGTAGCACTGTAGTACTTTTTTTCAGATTAAGTGTACCAAGTACAGTCTTGCCTTTTCCTGCAAGAACCTGAAATTTAGTCTTTTATCTCCAGGCAGGAGGTTGAATTGGGTGGTGACACATACAGTGTTCCCAGTTACTGTTTCTTAATACAGAAGGGATTAAAAATAATTGTTTGCACGTTAAATAATGTTGTTGATCCTAATTGTGAAATACAAAGAAAAGCTCTCCTTGTCCATGGACAAAAATTGCACATAAAACCTGTATGAATGAAAATGTAAAATCCAGCCTTTTGGAAATGTTTGGTCTTTTAAACCTTTTTCAATTCTTTTGAAGTTTTAATTGTTATTTTGGGAGAGGTGTATGCTCCATAATTTGGTAGGCTTGGGAATTTCCAGCAGTATGTTATAAAGTGAAGTTTGTCGTGGTACTGACTGACTTGGAGCAACTGCTAAGCTATGTTAATTAATGTAAAGCTGAGAAGAAAAGCAATTTAAGAGTAAAAACTAAGATGGTAACAGTAACCATCCAAAATCTGTTTGAATGTTTGGTTTATTGTGTTAAATTGCTTTTTTTTAGAAATAAATCCAATTACTATTCCTCTTTTTGCTGCTACAGTCTTAACAGTGTTTGTCTTGGTATACAACCCTGTTGTCTTTTTGTACTGTACAAGGCCATTCTGTGTCTGAATTGCAGTGTTCTGTAGTGTGATGCTTTGAAATACCCCAAAGAGCAGTAAGTCTAATTCATTTCACGAGCTAATGTGCCCTTTTACAGGACTCAGAGGAGCAACACAGAGAAACCAATGTGTTCTTAAAGAAGGAGCAAAAGAATAATCCACCGTTTGAAGATGACAAGTCAAAATTCCAGGTAATTAAAATAGCATCTAACTGCTTTATTGGAGTAACTGGAGACAGTTCATCTTATCCTTAATACAGTGATACCTTTTGCAATTGGTGAGTTTTAAACTCTGAAGAGGTGTTCTGGGCATTTGAGGAGAACCCAATTTTAAATATGAAAGACATATTTCCACTGCCCTTTTGGTGCCTTAAAGGCAATCTGCAACCAAAGCAGGCGCCCACAGTACTGTTTTGTCACTGGATTTACTGTTTGTCTTCAGGAAAGAATTTTTCTGTTTGTTTTGGTGCAAGGTGTTGATAAAGCAATAATTACTGTTCATTGCTGACTTCTCTAGACTAATGAGAGGACAAATGAGCCTAGGGGTCATTTACCCTTCATAAAGCTACCCCACAGAAGGGACATTCTGCCACTCTGTGTTTAGCTGCAAGATGGTTAGTAGCAAGAAAGTACTGTATCACAACAGATTATTTTCTTTCTGATCTTAGTGTCTTGCTGACATACTGTCTCTACTTCTAGGATATCATACCTCAGCCTTTGCTAGACCAGTACTTGTCAATGACAGATCCAGCTCGAGCCCAGACTGTTGATACAGAAATAGCCAAACACTGTGCTTACAGTCTTCCTGGTGTGGCCTTGACACTGGGCAGACAGAACTGGCACTGCCTGAAGGACACGTACGAGACGCTGGCCTCGGATGTGCAGGTGAAAAAAAAAAAGATAAATCAGAATTCCAAGTTGCTTTTTTGTTCCGTTTGTTACACTGAAGTTAGAGCATTGTATATTTTCTTATAAGGGATTAAATGTGCAATTAAAATGTAAAAGTCAAGATATAAATCAGGCTTCATTAATATTAGTATTTTCTACTGCTGCATAGCTAGTCCTGATACTTCTACTCTCTCAATCCTCACACAAGTGCAGTTCAAAAGCTTCTGTAGTTATGGTGCCTCTTCTAATTGACTTCTGAAACTGCCTGCAGTGGAAGGTCCGTCGGACATTGGCTTTCTCCATCCATGAGCTGGCAGTTATTCTGGGGGATCAGCTAACAGCTGCTGATCTGGTGCCAATTTTCAATGGATTCTTGAAAGATCTGGATGAAGTGCGTATTGGTGTCCTTAAACATCTGTATGACTTTCTGAAGGTAGGAAAGTATAATTTAATTTCTTCAAAATAATTTTTTTCTGACTCCTATTTTATTAAGAGTTTTTTAATGAGATGTGAAGGTAACAACACCTGATTACATGCTTAGTTTTGTGCCATGTGTGCAATTTAAAGTTCTTCACTTATCTTTTCTCATTTCCTAACAAAATACCAAAACTGAAACCTCTTTGTAAATGTAGCTGTAAATGCTCCTAGCTGTTGTACAGGAATTATACTTTAGGCAGTGTAGCTGGAGAGCTGGACCATGAACAATTTGGGACTGGGAGAGAAGAAGGTAGATGTGGTGGGCTGCTGCATAATAAACATCAATCCTTAGTTTTTGGTTGCTCAGTCTGACACACAGAGATGGTGTTTTGGAGAGTATCCTTGCAGAAATAACTTCATGGATTTTTTTGGATGTCAATCTTGCATGTCTTGGTGCTCAGCTGACTTGTGCAATTTTTAGTAAGCATCTTATGAATGATCAATTGCTTTCAGGTAGCAAAATACACAAAGGTGTGAATACAGTAATACAGCAGAGAACTGCAAGTATGGAATTTTACCTGTTTTACATTAGCAATGTTTTTCCTTTAGTTACTTCATGCAGACAAAAGGCGAGAGTATCTTTACCAGCTTCAGGAATTTGTGGTGACTGATAACAGCAGGAACTGGAGGTTTCGTTACGAGCTGGCAGAGTATGTAATTCTGTTAACCTCTGATTTTTATCTATATTAGTCACTTGCAAATGGGTAATTACATTCAGAAATTAGCATGCTCCTAATTAGGAGCTAAAAGGTTACAACCAGTCTTTATTAAGGAACTGAACTTAAAAGCCATTGGCTGTTGGGTTGTTTTTTGTTTTGGGGTTTTTTTTTTGAAGTGTTTTTGGAAGTTTTGTCATCAAGGGTGGCTGAAACTTCAGTGTCTATGATTATACTAAAATGGTGATCTGGTTTGCTTGCAGCTTATGGAATATGATAATTTGATAGATACTATTCAGTGAGGTTTCAGATTTTATTCAGTTCTCTACTGTCTTGTAAAAGTGAAATATATGTAGAAAGTTATTTTTCTAATGTGTATGAAAGAAAACAGCTCTTAAATTAGTTTATTCATCTGGTATTTCCATGTGACTGGGTATATAATGGAGATGAGTAAAGTCACAATTCTTTTCCTACAAGCCTTGTTGATACTTGAAGCACCCAAAGGATGTTCATAGGCATAGTTGGCAGCTAAAATCTGACCCTCCTGTTTATCTCATTGCTTTGTTTGGGCTATTGAGGATTCACTCTCCCTTCATAGTTTGGCACAATAAACTCAGTCTCACTCCAGTGCAAGGATGTTACACAGCAGTTCCTGACATGTAGTGGAGAGCTGTCACCATGGTTAGTCTGTGCAAGGCTGCTGGTAACGCTGGCAGTGGTGTGGCTGGGTGAGTTCTGTGCAGTTCTGAGATGCTTTCTGAAATGTAGATTTCTGCACTGAAGTAAATCATTTTTATTTTGTATGAATGTACAGGATATTGGTCTGAAATTGCAAGAAGCTTCTCATTGTACTGTTTGTAGCTTTTGTTGTTATTTGGAATAATTTTCATTCACTGGTGCATCTAGTTTGGATAGAACTTTCTTTTGAACTCTGTGAGGGATGCAAGCATGCACCTCATTAAGTGTTCACCTTTACATAAAATAAAGAGAACAAAAACTGTTCCAAGTGCTTTGCAATAACCATGGCATTTTTGAGGCTCCAAATGGTCCTTCCTTACATTTAACAGATGGTACTATCAGAGCAGGTCAGTGTTGCACTTGCTGCAGTTAACCTCTTTTGTGTTGCAGGCAGCTGATCCTGATACTGGAGCTCTACAATCCCAATGATGTCTATGACTACCTAAGACACATTGCACTAACTCTCTGCTCCGACAAAGTGTCAGAAGTTCGGTGGATCTCCTTCAAACTGGTAGGGGTTTTAGTTCACTCCCTGGCAGAAGAGGAGGAAAGTGGTGCTTGAGAGGGATACCTGAAATCACTGTCATCTTTCACACAAGTAGGGTTAAAACAGATGTTTTGATAAACACAATAAACGATATGGAGGGAAGTGAAACGAAAACTTCGTAGAATATTTTGAGTTGTCAGACTTCCACAGATAGTAAAATCTTTCTCTGTGGTTGTATTTGAGTGATAAATGTGTTTTCAACTAGATGAAAACCAGGACATAGATTCCTCTGAATCCTCAAGTTTTTTCTTTGAAAAAAATAATAAATCAGTTTTGAGGAAAGATTGGGGAGTGTTTAATTTTTGAATTTCATGGTAATGCCATCATCACATAGATGTCCTCAGTGAGCAGAAAGATTCCTTCAGTCTCTTCCTTTTCTTCATGGTGCCATGGAAAGGGGGATTATTTTAATGGTGGTTTTAATTTCTTGTAGTGGTTTTTGCTTCACCTGAACAAACAGGTTTTTTTTAAAGCTTACACTCTTTTCTCCAGAGTAATCCCAGTAACTTGTTAAATCCAGCAAGCACAGCTGCTGACACTGAATATAGGTTTTGGTGTCCCTTTCTAGGTTTCAAATGAAATTATGCTTTTTTTTTTTAACTTTCTAAGGGCTACAACCTAAGAATCACCTCTCTTTTTTCCCCTCGTCGTTTTCCTCTTCCCCTTTCTTTCCTTCACAGGTTGTAGCAATACTACAGAAGTTCTATGCAAACAATGCAAGTGCACTGGGATTAAACTTCATTAATGAACTTGTAGTGCGGTTCCGTCACTGCTCCAAGTGGGTTGGAAGACAAGCTTTTGCCTTCATTTGTCAGGTTGGAATGTTCTCTCTCCAGGGTTCTATGTGTGCATTTAGTTTGGAGCTTTCAGCAATGTGGGCAAAACTGAAATTTGGACACATGATTTTGTCATTCAGTTCTGTGGGTTGGCAGAAGGCAGTGGCAGAGTTGGTCTGGCCTCAGTACAAGCCTGTGGCTATCCTGTTTGGAAACTGTAGGCCTTGTTTTGGTCTGTGTCTTCTGCAGAAACAGCTGATCCTCGTACTTCCTGGCATCCTAGTGGCAAAGTCGAGAATTAAGTTATAAGGATAGATTTTTGTAATGCTGGGATAAAGGATCACAAGAGGTCTTCAAACTGCCACAGGGTGCTAGATGTCCAGAACTATTTCCCTCTTTATTTCCAATTAACCTACCTCCTTCCAAACCCAAAATGCTGCTTCAGTAGCAATGAGGAGCAAGGGTTGGGGATTGAAAAGCAGAAGGGCGATGACAGGGAAGAAAGAAGTATTTCCAAGTACAGTTGAAAGTAAGTTACCTCCTCTTGTTGGGTCACCTGCAGATGAGCTATAGAATGCTAAGATGCGCTTCTACGACAGGCTTTCAAAGGCTCTACTTATTTCAGCAGTGCAGGGGGTGTGTGGTCAGAGTTCAACACTGACTTTTTTAACAGACAGGCCAAATTAAGGACAAGATGGAAAGGAATGGCTAACAGTGTATTTTTAACATAAATATTGCTTTCTCGTGTTTTGTGTTCATTCTGTAGGCTGTAGTAGAGGAAGAATGTATGCCTGTGGACCAGTTTGTTGAACACTTACTGCCCAGTCTTTTAAGTCTTGCTTCAGATCCTGTGCCAAATGTGAGGGTTCTGCTCGCCAAGGCCCTAAGGCAGACCTTGCTGGAGAAAGGTGCGGTGCTGTCTGACGCTGCGTGCTGAGAGCAGAACTATACCCTGTGGTCTGGGGTGCTGTGTGTGGGTTCAGATTTAGGAATACAGATTTAGAAACATATACTGTAGTGGCTTTTCTGTTGTATATTTGATAATCGTCCTTAAAGGGCCTGAAGTGGGCATGGACAATCTGATAAATGCTGTATTCCATCAGTAGAGGGCAGTGACAGCCTTGCAAGAAGCACTGCAGTCACTCGCTGCTGCTACAGGTGCTGCTTTTTGGTATCCATGAGGTGTATGGCAAAATACTTTTTTTTTTTTTTTTCCCCCTTAAATATCATGTGAGATTATTTTGATGTATTTCAAAACTTTGTGTTAATGAAGTAGTTGTCTTTGGGACCCCTCAGGTGAAGTGCTGCACCTTTTTATGAAATTGTTTTGCCATTTTCAGCTAACAGTTGTACTAGTAAAGACTAATTTTGTGTGCCACTGTTAATTTCTGTGTTAGAATTCCTTAAAAAATCAGTTTTGTTCAAATATATAAAACATCTTTAATTTATATTTTATATACTCTGATTATTCAAAGGCAGAGATGCACAGAAATCTGTTTTATTTCAGGATAAAGTGGGAAATGTTTCACAATGCGTTGACAGTGGCATTGGTTTTATTTGAGCTTGGTTTTATTTGTTGACGCATTTATGTTTAGCCTTCAGTAAAAAGAATTTCTCTTAGAAATACTGAAGTACTTTTTCTAAGGAGCCTATAAACTGGATGAGCTACCCCAGATATTTTTGGCACCCTCGGTTTCTGCACTACTTATACCCTAGGGCCCATTCTTTTGGCTTTGATTAAAATGGCATTTTTCTCCCCTTATTCTAGCTTATTTTAAAAGTGTTGGCAATCCTCATCTGGAAGCTGCAGAAGAGACCATTCTAGCCCTGCAGTCTGACAGAGATCAAGATGTGTCCTTCTTTGCCACCATAAAACTAAAACAGGGTAACACAGACAGTACTACTATTGAAAAACAAAACTGAAGTGTTCTTCTGCAGTAAACACTGAACGCCAGAATGGTTATTCACCTTATTTTTGTGGTTAGTATGAATAATGTAGACAAATAAGGCTTTTGTTACCTACTTGAGCTGGAAAGGGTCTGTTGAGAAATGTTATGATTGTCCTTTCGTGACCATGTTTAATTTACAGCTGTTTGGTATGTGTAATTCCTTTTGTTTTTTTCTTTGTAAATGTGGATGATAACTGATCTCACCTGAAGTTAACTATCGTGTGTAAAGTGTTACACCATACTCAGTGTTTCAGTGTAATTGGAATTCATATTTCATTTTTTTTACAAAACATTTCAAGTAGAGCAGTTTGCTATAAGCTTAAAATGGTTTCTAAATCTTAAAAGCAGATTATAGCAAACTTACATGAAGATATTTTTCCTCATTTCTGTTGTGATTTTTGTATTGTTTCAAGTATTGCGTTTTAACTGAAAAAAGTGTATATATGTGAATAGTTCTGAGTTTAAACAAAAAATGAAGAACTTAATTCTACATCAGTGGCAAAAATCTCAAAAATCATTTCATTCTATAGTTACCTTTCTAGAATTAAGGCATGCTTCGTTTTGACTTAATGTGATAATTTTCAAAGCACAGAGAGCTCAAGATTCTTTGTGTATTGGGACTCTCCTATTTGTTATTTGTGAGCTCTACCCTTACAGGTGTTAAAACATCTGGTTTAGCAACTGCTGGCGCTCATAGTGGTAGGTAGACTGTAAATTTCCCAAACTGAACATTATTCATTCTGCCTGAGCAAAGTTCACTTCAGTTAAGGGATTTGCTGTTTCTATAGAAGAGTACTACAGAGTTTCACAGACAGAAGTTGTTTTTTGTTCCGTGTACACACCTCATTTAAAAACACTTCTAACTGATCCAGTGTTCAAATCCCAAACAGCCTGCTGTTTTGTTCCTAAGAAATGAAGGACCTCTAAATTTTGAAAAACCCCAATTAATAGATGTTCAGGGGAAACGTGTTGATGCAATTTGCTCTGTAACATCTGTTGATTGTATGGTAAGAATATCACAATCAACAAAAGAAGGTTACAAAGATGCTTAAGTTGGCTGTCTTATGTGTATTTAACCAGGTGTTTGGATGAAAGATACAGATAGAGCAAAGTTCTGTTCATAAAATCAGATAGTTTCTGACCAGCTTTAAAAATTATAATTCTAATGTTTTTTGATGGGTCCTATATTCTGTTGTGTACTAATCTGCAGATAATATGGGGCCAGGAAAAAAGTCTCACTTTTAGATTGTGGATAGGAACTTTGTCCTGTTCAAAAACTAATGCTTAAATACTAAAAAATTAATGTAATGACAGTTGCTTTGTTTCTGTGACTACACTACCTGTGTAAATATTTCCCCTTATTTCACTGTTACATTAATAAGTAGTTCACACAGGTGAAGGTTTTTTCAGAAATTTCTTTTTTGGGCGTGTGGTTTTTTTCTGTTGGTGGTGTTTTGTGTTGTTTTTTATATCTGGCTTGTCTGCAGTACAGCAAATAGATTCCACAGCTGAGTTCTGTATTTTTGCAGGGCTGAGCTTTAAGTTTAACTAGTCTTGTATTATATAATATGTACAGTATTTGTAACAAATTGATTTCCTGTGAGATCACAAACTGCTTTTTGGAAGTTACAGGCAGAATTGTACCACTGCTATTACAGCAGACAGTATAAACTCTGTAAATTCTGTGACATCCTACATTTAATTTTTTATAACTTTTTTATAATTTAAAACAAATGCTTCTTCAGTACAGACTTTATTATTGCAATTTCTTAACAAAAAGACCTCTCAAGTTAATTTTTTCTAGTTCTAATATCTTTTTCTAATGCTGGCGTTACACTGGTATTTTGTAACAGTTCAAATTTTCTAAGACCTTTCTGACAAGGTTTTACCTTTTTATCAGTTCATTAAATTTCTTCAGCACTGAACACGTTTTTTTATGTGTGTATATGTAAGTATGTTTGAAATGTATATAAATTAAATCCTTTGAACATTAACCCAACCCAGATTTGTCTGTCACGTGCTCTGCGTTACCTTTACCTGCAGTAATCCACTGGAAGACAGAAGCTTCCGCGTGTGCTGGCATGTTTGGTCAGTGTTTACCACGAGTTTTTAATTGGAATGTGTTAGCAGTAAGCCACCACTGTAGAAGTTCACTACAAGGCTAAACAAAGTCCTTTGTTTTTAACGGTATTTTGGTACCTCTGGCTCTAGAAATCAGGTCTGTGTTAAATGATGGGATTTCAGTAGAGCTTTTAAGAACTTTTGTTAAAACTCTGCAGTTGCATGAAGTAATGAGGGATGTCATAGCTTTGGGATGGGTTTTTCTGCGGACAAGGTGCAAGTCTAGTAAGCAGATTTACCCACTACAAGGTTTGTCTTATTGGTTCAAACTAGAAACAATTTCAGCATGACTGACGACCGCACTTTACGTCTTGTACTGGACAAATGTATGCAGTGATGAGCAATGCCCTGTGTTCATGTACAGTCCTCTGGGTTGTTTAAATTATGCAAAAATACATATTTTTAAAAGCCAGGTGGATCAAAGTTAGTTGATCCACTTCCACAACAGCAGTAAGAATATCACTTTTAAAGATTTCTAGCTGAGAAACGTGAAAATGCTAGTGGGTGCAATATCACTTGGATGCTGTAGGAAATTACCAAGCACTTGTAATCCAAAGGCTGTTAGTGATGTTGCTCAGCATCCAGACTTGCTGGTATCTTGTCTGATGCACAGTTGGCATCAGTCAGGTGCTGCCCTAGTGGCAGTTGGCTGTACACAGTGTTGGTTAGAACCCAGTTAAGTTGGGACACTCTGGCAGTGTCATTTGTTTGTCAGAATAGAGAATCTATGTAACTTTGTATTTATCTCAATAAATCTAGTGACTTTTATTAACCGACTTGTGTTAACTGACTTTTGTCACAGGTGATGTGAGTGTACTCTTTGGGTTGATGAAAACTCTCCAGTGTAAGCACTGTCATCTGTCAAACCTGGGCTGAGTGTGGAATGCATCGTCTATGTAGTAAAAAATCCGTTAGATATCTAGAGATATGAAGTAGCTTTTCCTCTGTGTGACCTCCCCTCTCTTCTCTACAGGATTTTAGCTGATGCCACAGTGAGGAGAATAAGCAGTCCGCACACCCTGGTAAAGCCTTCCCCCACACCTTGAGTTCAGGCACAAGTCCCCTATGTAGTAAGCTGGAGACAAAAGTTAAACTGCCACATGATTTTTTTATTATATGTTAGACTAAACATATAGATTGATGTTTACACTTCAACAACAACAAAAAAAAAAAAGGAACAGAAAATATAGAATTTTGGGTATTTAACTGAGTTAATACTTTTTTTTTTTCTAGTACTTGTCTCCCAGTTCAGTTTGTCATCCTGGTGAAAATGAGAAGATGGGCAGGAACAAAAGTCCTTGTGTAACCATTCTGGTGTGTTACTTTGTCCTGGTTCCGTGTAAAAAGGGGTTCAGGGCAGGACCCACACGGAACAGAACTAGGTACTCGCCTCTCCCCCCCTGAGAGAGAGAGAGACTTTGGGAAAAAAAATGAAGAATATTGTTTAACAAGGAACAGAAAATGAAAAAGGGAGGTAAGGAAAATAATATATACAAAGATTAGGGGAAAAATACAAAAAATAAAATATATGAAACCCTCAGAAATGGTTCCAGGGTCCCACGGAGTGAAAGGACAACTTTCCTCTCCGAGCTCCAAGGCAGGAGTGAAATTAGAAACCACTCCCTGCCTCTTATCAGAGGGTGTGTGGGAAGGGGAGGGAATACAATGGTTCACCCCCACCCGGGGTCCTCCCAGTTGCTGGAAGGTCACGCCCCCATTCCAAGCCTCAAACCACAACATACTTTCTGTGGTGGTCTCGTATGGGCTGTTGTGTCTCACACTGTGCTTCTGTGATGTCAGCTTATGCTGCTTGGATGCTGTAAGGTGCTTATGCACAGGGGGGATCTATACTTGGAGGCCTTTGATACAAGGGGAATGTCTAGGGGAGGGAGAAGTTACCAGCAGACCTAGACTTCTGTCCTTAGGAAGATTCCAAGGTTTTTCTAAGAAGCAAGTCTCATGTTTCCTGGTCAGGAACTACTTCTTCACCATGCCTTCCTTGCCCCTGCAAACCTTCAGTGTCCAGCTCCATCTGGCTGAATCTAATGAGATCTTTTCACTGCATCAATGCCAAAATGACTTGACTCTGAAGAGGCTAAAGTCCTATTTAGAACTGTTGACTGGGGTCCCCCTTCACTTCCAGTGGCTTCAGTATCTGGATGAAGGTGAGAACCTGTAACCTCAGGGGATTTTTGGAGGCTCTTTGTAGGATCTCTGCTAGTTCTGGCTATGCTTAGGTCCTGGACAGAGGTCAGGGTTCAGCTTTCTTCTTTTTACTATACTGCACTTGGAATTTAGCTCTTGACTTAATGCTTAACTTTGCTTAATACTTATTAAAGATAATGGCCTTCTCAACAGGGTCTCATTAAGCTGGAGATGGCAAGTTCTACATTCCT